GTGCGTTTGTTAATATTTTCAATATGTACCTACTTTAAACCAGTATTTGACACTGGTCTGAAGTCGATCTGATGATGGAGTCGAAAGACAGTCGAGGAAACTCTTCGAGGATTTACAGCAAAGACCCCGTGTTCGGGTTCGAATTATTTGTATTGATGGCAATCACTTATGACAAAACGGGGCCTGATGATGAAGTAGTATGATAGCTATGGGAATTCTGTGGCCTGGTGTTCAGTTTTTAATTTTTTACTTTTTAGTTTACAAGACGCATAGCCCACTTGGGTGCAAAGTTCTCATCATTAGGTACCAATTATTCAAGTGGGTGGCTAACTTATCAGTACGTCTACGTATGAGCTGACAATAGTTGTTATAAGCTTTTTAGTTTTTACATCTTGTCTGTTTTTATTATTTCCGAAATGCACAACTTAAGTCCCTAGCTATTGTTTGTAGATAATATGCTACACGCAGGAAGTACCTATATCGTACATCATTCTCGATGTAGTCTTACCTATGTAATTACAGATTTGCTTAAAAAAGATTAGCGGTAAATTCCCGGCGGCCACGATAACACGGGCACTTCCGGCGGGCGGCGCGGTAGAGGTCGCGCGGCGTGCCGCGTGCGTGACTGTAGAGTACCGTGTCGGTGTACCCCACCTGCCCTCGTCCGCAGCCGCGAGGCGCGCCGCGCGACCCGGTCACACAGCATGTGCGCGCACATACGCACAGCCTTCCACCCATACATTGCACAAAATACTACCCATAGTCCAGCCAGTCCGCCGCCTGGACCCCAGGCGTCGTCGTACGACAATAAGTATTATAATTATAATATTTACTAAACTATGGTCGTACTGCGGCGGCCGAGACCTACTAAAGCCGAACCTACTTAATTCTGCTTGGGATTGAATCAAACTTTATCTTATAGATAACACTAATTGAATAGATATTAACAAGCTAAACACGATAATAAAAACAGAAACGTGTGCAAAAAATTAATGTTTTGTATAATTGCAATGCAATGTTGAATACAATGGAGTGTACAGGATTGTCCTAGTGCAGGCCACAGAGTACATTTGTATAGACTGGTGCACTGGTGCAGGTCACTTTGTGTAACCAACTTTACTTACCTACAAGATTTATTTTTGTATATTGCGTTTTTGAATTGTGAATAAAGTTTTTATTTATTTATTGCATTGCACACATAATTCGTACGTAGGCAATCAAAATAGGTACACAATACCCATGCCCACAAGTACATACCTCGAATTCTTAAGCAAATATTAAGAGTGCAATGCTACAATGCTACCCAATGCAATTCGAAATACAGACTAGAGAGGGCAAGCCGGCGAGCTAATCACCCGCTGCTGCTACGCAACGTCGCCGAGTGCGATCTCCCACCAGATGACTCGTGAGGCTCGAGAAGACTGTAAGGAAGGGTACGGTTTTGACTATTCAAGCAGCGCGCTGTCTTGCTCCGAGCTCGCCGTCCGCAGACGATATTGTAGTGTGTACTGGCACTCAACATTCTGCCTAGTTTGCACTAAAATACTAGCTATTTTATAGAGTACCTACTAAGTATTTAGTAGCTAAAAATCCAAAATACTGGCTTCTGTCCCAAAATCGTTCGCACTTTTGTCGAGTACCTATAGTTTACAAGTAGATACCTAATTTGAGTTGCGTATAAATTGATTGTAATATTTCGTCTTGCAACTGTACCGATAAAAATTAGTCATCGTTGTCCGAAACAATCTTAGTTTCAGTCATAGGATTACGGCTACGGCAACGCGTCTACATGCCGCATGCTAATAGATACCCGGTCTGAAAAAGAAGAAAGAAAGTTTTAAGGATTCTACCACAGCCAAAGTTTCCAACTCGTAGCTGTTCGAAATCATCTCCTCTTTCGTAGTTACTCTTCTGAAGTAAATAACTGACTTTAGATCGCCATTAGGTTGTCTCTGTAGAAGAATTCCAGCTATTCCTGTCTTACAGGCGTCTGTCCGAATTTCAGTTTCATAATCACGGTTAAACAAAGCCAAAATTGGTTTGTTTACTAGCAACGCTTTTAATTTTGTAAACGCTTCTTGTTGGTCATCTTTCCTACTCCAGTTAGAATTTTTCTTAGTCAGGTCAGTGAGTGGATTTGCTATTATAGCGAAATTATGTAGGAATTTCCGTATACAAGAACGTAAATAGAAGTCCAATAAATTGTCGCATTTGATTTATGTGCACCTCGCGGAACAGGAAAATTATTTACTGCATCTAATTTACGATCACCAGGTGGTATCCCATCGGGAGTTACTAGATGCCCCAAAAAATTCACTTTGTTAAACGAGGGTCAATAGTTAGGTTTGTGCGCATACCTGACGGCGGCGAGACGTACCCATGACATACCCAGATGTTGCGTAAGGGTCCATTATTGTCTTTGCTCGGACGCACCCTTAACGGAGTGAAAGCGAACCCCCGCAAACGACATTGGACAACTAGCCGCGAGAGCGCATAGCCGCTATTCCGCGAGGCACCAGGTTACATTAGGTAACTAATTTTAAGTTCAGGACAGAACTTAAAACTACACAAACAGAACAGGGGTTTTGTTTGTGTAGTTTTAAGGACACCTGTTCAGTTAATAAACCTCATTTCCATCTCACACCCTGACGTAGAGGCTTCAATATAAAGCCCCACGTTACAACTTCCATTTTAAGGAATGCGCATTTTTGCAAATTGAGATTTAAATTAGCCCCACATAGAAGTTTTAGTACCTACTTTTCCTAGTAGTACAAGTCCACCATCAATGTCTATTGAAGGTAAAAGCAAATCGTCCATGATCGTCCCTAACTCCTAATACCTACTATTATTCACCGAAAACCTAAACTCCTTCCTAGCTTTGTCTACGTCGAAGATAGAGCGGGGGTGTAACAGCCGCGAATCGCTTCCGGAAAAGATGATAAGGCCGTGCTCGTTTTGATCGAGACTTGGCTGGGGCACTACCGTGCCCCCAGATTAATTTGCGGGTTCTGGTGGTTAGTGCTTCAATATGTAGCTGGAAGTCGGAAGTCTGGAAGTCGAGCAGTTATGTTGCATTGAAAATCAAGATAGCCCTGAAAATGTAGATATTAATGAAAATCAGCATCCCGTAATAGTAGAGTTTTTACAAATATGTAGTATATAAATATGCTGTAGTTAGAGCCACCGACATTAAAGATAGAAAGGTTTTGCCAAAACCAAAATTTACAAAGTATTTTATTGCAAACATGCAAGTAATAAATAAATACCTCCCAAATGTTTTACAATTTGATAATTCGTTACGTCATTTAAACGATGTTATACACGCAGTAGCTACAACTTTGATAAAAATCAATAACCAGACTCCATACACATTAAACAATAAACCAAAACCTAAAACATACCCACCTTGGAAATTAGGGATTAACTTAAGTAGGTTAACAGAAATTACAAGTGGAATAAATAGTAAGATGTTAAATAAAATTAAAAATAAACTATTCGATAAATACAATATTTTCAGTGACAACGAACGTGATAATGCTATGGAAGAAATACAACAAAAAATTAAAGCACTATCTGCTCGGCTAAAGAGATACGACGATATGGACAAAAGAAAGACGCAAAATATAATGTTTCAAGAAAACCAACATAAATTCTACAAACCACTTACGGAAAATACTAATACTGCAAACTGTTTACCAACGAAAGAAAACATACAAAACTTTTGGACATCAATATTATCGGAACCCATTAGTTACAATAAAAAAGCCGACTGGATTACAGAAATAGAAACAACAATGAACAATATTAAAAATACAAACTTAGATGAAATAAGCTTAGATAAATTACGAACGGCATTGAGGAAGGTAAGTACACAATGGGAAAACACCAGGTACCTATTGATAAAATTCAAAATTATTATTTAAAGTATTTAACCAGCACTCATGGATACATAGCAGACTTATTTACGCAAATTTTAAATAAAACAGAGACAATAGAAGATTGGTTTACAACAGGACAAGTTATACTCATACCTAAGAATAGCGAAACCCAAGACCCGAAAAACTGGAGACCAATAGCGTGTCTTCCAACAATGTACAAACTACTAACGTCGGTAATAGCTGATGAGTTGTACACCCACTGTGATAATAATAACATATTAGCACCTGAACAGACGGGGTGAAGGCGGCGTGCTAGGGGCTGTAAAGATCATCTCATGATGAACAAAGCCATACTCGAAGACGCACATCAGTCTCAGAAGAACTTAAGTATGGGGTGGGTGGATTATCGAAATGCCTTTGATAGTGTTTCGCATGAATGGTTGTTGAGAGTTCTAGACCTTTACAAATGTCCAAACTCTATCAAGGGTTTTCTGGAGACAACCATGCCTACATGGAAAGTCGTCATGACAGCCCGTGGTTCAAATTTATCCGTTACTACTGACCCGATCTACATCAAAAGGGGTATATTTCAGGGAGATTCATTGTCGCCACTTCTCTTCTGTTTAGCAATTAATCCTCTCTCACAAATACTAAATAAATACAAAGAAAAAGGATACAAAGTTAAAGATACACCGATAAATCATTTATTACATATGGATGAATTAAAGCTTTATTCGAATACAAAAACAATCTATCAATCTTAATAGACAGCACTGAGATTTTCATACATGATATTGGAATGAGTTTTGGGCTAGACAAATGTAATGTGTTGCATATGAAGGCGGGTAAGCGAGTAGAACATCAAGGTGTAGGACACATATTACTGAGTGGTGAGGAATTCGAAAATCTGAAAAGTGATCAAAGTTACAAATATTTAAGAGTAACATTTTCATCAATGACTAGTTTTTGCCAGCAGCTTCGCCCGCGTTCCTGTGGGATAAATGGCCTATGTGTTACATCGGCGATGTTTTTTATTTTAGTAAGTTTGGTAGTAAGTACTATTAATAATAATTATTACTTTTTGCTGTTTAGTTTTTCTTCCTCGAATGAAACAACTTTAAGTTTATTAAATATTTATTGACATTAAATGCATTTTGGTTTCGTTTTATATTTTAATACAATAGTATTATTCTATACAGTTTAACGTCTAAATAGAAGAATGAAGCCGGCGACGCACAGGAGCTCGAGCGCCGCGCCTGACTCGGTCGGTAACAATGATATCGTCGTAAGCTCGGAACTCGATATTGCAATGGTACAAACGTACGTTGTTCTGTTATAAGAGTAACTAATTAAATAGAATATTAAACTAAATCTGCCTTTTTACAGTAAAATACAAGCGCACAGAAGCACGTTTGATTAAGGATCGCTTCATGTGTATAGGTACATGTGAATAATTTAATTTACAATAATTACACTACCAGTGGCAGAACACCGGCCCGTCCCGCAACATCTGTAATACTGCACCAATGCTGTAGGGCCTGGTACGTCAGTGCCGCAGTGTCGCCATGTTGTACAAACACTTGGTTCACATACAATACCGACGCTAAACGCTGCGTACTGTCTCAAGTGAGTCACACTGCATACGACACAAACACGTTTTGGTAACATTTGGCCAGTCGTCCTGGCAAGTACTTCGGGAGTGCACGGGCGACGCAGTCAGTACACAAGTTGTATAATGTTGTCTCGTGTCTCGTCGGACAACGAGTCAAACTACGGCTTGTACGAGTGCCGCGGGCAACAGACGTGTCCAAGGCTGTGGACACCGAGCTCCCCGGTACATGCCACACACTTGCAAGCTACACAATTAGATTATTTACAAAGGAAATTTTCCAGTACAACACAAGTAGTTGTATACGCTAGGTTCATTCAGCTGACTCGCTGCAGGTCCCACGGACAAGTCGATATGTCAGTTACACGTACTGGTGAGAAACTCGACATCGCACAACTTGCATGATCCTTTGGAAGCACGCACTCCACGAGGATTCCCGAAATCCTACAGAAACAGAAACATGTTCAATGCGCCGTCGGAGTCGCAGTCCCTGTACAGTACTACCAAAACATATTTGCGCGTCATGCTCAGCTTACACGGTGGACAAGTGGACGACTCACTAGAAGGAAGCTTCGGTTCTTACAAATAATATTTATTCTAACCTTAAATATATTGGTTCGTGTTTGTATCACAGAGAACACGACACATCGTACTAAACGAACGCACAGTACAGTGAGGCTCCCAAACGAATACAATCGTACATTAAATTATTAGTAAAAACGATACAAATATAAAACGTTATCACAAGAATCGTATTCTTGCAGTCGCGCGTACGGGGTCCCAGGGCGAGCTACACGTAGTGCTGGTCGCGCAGCAGACGCTCGTCCTCCGGCGGCTCGGCCTCGGCCTCGTCCGGCTCGCGCAGGTCGGCCAGGCCGGCGGCCGCCCAGTCCCGCGGCCGCGCGCCCAGCGGCCCGCAGCCGCAGCCGAACAGCTCGGCGCAGTTGTGCAGCGGGCCGCGCGTGAAGGGCGAGCGCCCGCCGCGCGCCACGAAGTGCCGGTAGCGGCCGCGGTTGAGCTGCTCGTTGGTGGTCATGCCCAGGCACACCACCAGGTACAGCTGGCAGCCCGTCAGCACGGTCACCCAGAACAGGTGGAAGCACGCATTCAGCAACACCCAGGCCAGCCACGGGTTGCAGCGCGCCCACTGCATCACGACGCCCGGCGCCGTCGGCTCGGCCGCGGGGCACTCGGCGCTGAAGTACTGCGCCGCGCCCCAGATCATCCAGGCGCACATGACGAGCAGGCTGACCAGGAACCCGATGAAGTAGCGGTGGTTGTTGGCTCCGATGCAGTTGCCCACCCAGGGACAGTGGTGGTCGAACTTGGCGACGCAGCGGTTGCAGACGGAGCAGTGCTTGGAGCGCAGCGGGCGGCGCACGAGGCAGGCGGAGCAGAAGCGCGCCGGCTCGAAGCCGCCGCGCGCCGACTCGGACAGCTCGACGATGGTGCGCAGCTTGTCGGCGCGCGAGGCGCGGATGACGCCGGGGTCGGAGCGCCAGGAGCGCAGGAACGAGTACCAGAGCGCGCACGAGCTGAGCGCGAACAGCAGCGTGGCGCCGGCGCCGACGACGCCCGCGATGAACACGGCCCACGTGATGTAGAACCACACCTGCGGCACGACCAACGCGTCAACTCAACTCTATTAACGATCACTTGTAAATGTGATGTAACTTTACAAATGTTATTGTTATCTCATTATTTCTCCTATTATTCTCTATTCTCCGTCTTTTGGGAGTCTCAAACTGTCGTTGTATCGAATTTTACTCATATAAGTACATACAGGGTGACCAGTAAATAGAACACCGTACTGTGAAGCCCAGATATAATATTCCTGTGCTGTGAAGGGAGGTAGCTAAGTCCAAAATCTACCTAAACAACCCAATGTACTTATGTTGAGCGATAGAGTACGGTTTCCAAATTACACCACATTTTCATAAATATACTTACTACATTTGACTATAATATCTAAATGAAGTGTCAGTCAGTTCACGAAAAGCGTAACAGAAATTTGCAGTCAACTGTTCACTGCAATGCACTTTCCCGTCAAGTAGTACCAATCGTGTCACCTAGGCGTCACTACGTGCATGCATGTACAAAATAAATTTGTAAACAAGAAAGTACACTACAAAAATGGCGACATGCTCCGAAAAATTGTGCTAAAATTATAAATGACTATTAAAAGTCCTAAACAGATGACTTATCCGGGTATACTCGTCACAAAGTAAATTCGTCATATTTTGAAAAATCCAGAAATCGAAAGTAAATTGGTCACATGTACAAAAAATATGTGTGGCCTCGTCACAGGTTCATGAGGGTTTTTGTAAGTTTGTTACAAATCCTCAATTCGCATATGTTTTTCTTTAACTCGTCGAGTACCGGTTTTGTAGACACAATTATAGAACAATAGGTTGCGGTCACCGGTGACCGCTTGGTGTTTGGCAGTTTAAAGAAACAATTATAGAACAATAGGTTGCGGTCACCGGTGACCGCTTGGTGTTTGACAGTTTAAGTAGCGATATTTATTTATATTCTGATTCTGATAGCAAGCAAGTTTTTAGTAATCCATATATTATAGGTATTAAAATATTTTTCAAATAGATAGTTTTTATACTTATAAATCGTATTCTTTTTATATAGTTATAGACAAGTCAGCCACTCAAAATCTGTGATTTTTACTTAGGTCAAGGAAAAAACGTGATTATAACTGTGATGTAATTATTTTTCTTATAATTGTAATATTGTTCATTGCAAATCAGCCACTGTTCAACTTTTATGTAGATTTTAGGTTAATTAAAGACTTTCTTCTTATTATTTGTAATGTTACGGCCATGCCAGCCACTTGAGAACTATGACTTTTACTTAGATGTTAGGTTAGACTTATTTTTAGTTTTATTTATATTGTTGTAGACAAGTCAGCAAGTCGAGATGTGTGATTCTTTATAAATGTTATGTTAAATTAATAAAAGTCGATGATTGCTGTGACGTAATGTCTTCCTTCCTTCCTTATTATTGTTAAGTTTTAGGCGTTCACTCGAGAACTGTGATTGTTGTTATGTAGATTTCTTTTTTTATATATCTTCATTTATTTAGAGTCTTTTGATCACATAAAGACCATGCCAGACCCATCTTTCCCTAAACAGATTAAACAAAATTTACATTAACTTAAATTCTACTCTTATTTACTATTTTATATAAAAAGATAGCTGATATTGGATAAAGGTTGTGACAATATACTATGAAAAACGACAACATCTAAGAAATTAATTATGTTGTTAAATACTAAGTTGTTATGTAGATGTAAGGTAAATTATTAAACTTGATGTGATTCTAAAAAATATACAACATTTTATACTACTTCTTGTTAATTTTAATTGGCTATCGGTGCGAATAAAACTTATGTGACGAATTTACAATAAACATATTGAAAATTTAATGTATAAATTAGAATTGTGGCAAATTTACACGTACTTTTTTTCTTGACGAATTTATTTTGTGACAACAACCCCACTTATCCATCACTAAGTAATCAAAAAAAAACGGTGTAAGTATTAAGTTTGTTGGTAACTAGTACTTAGCATATAATCAATAACTTTAGTACAATTTTCAGAGCAAATAAACCTCCTTTTATATGGCTCTGCAGCTTAATAATACACCACTTTCACATTTTGAACTTTAGTTTAGTTTTAGTACCCACTAATTTTAACGTAATTTGATACCAGAAAGAATTCTTTGAGAGTATTCATATCAACTTACCAAAAAATAAATATTTCTACCCTTTACGATCCCTATGATAGAGATCGAATCATTTTATATCAGACGCCTACGTCATACAATCGCATGATAAGTTTTATAGTTTAACGTGAACAGACAAGACGGCAAGACGCGCCGTTCAGTTGGGGTCTCATTCTGCATAATAAAATAACCCTGGGCCGACTGTGACACTGGTATATTTCTGGGATTATGACGGCATTACCTTGGTCGCAAGATACACGCTGAGCGGAAATATGTTCTTGAGGTCGTCATCGAAGAGCAAGTTGCTGAGGAAGTGCAGCGCGACGTAGAAGCTGACGAGCATGAAGGCTTTCACCAGGTAGAGAGCATCCATCTCCAGCACCAGCCCGGTGAGGTAGAAGGCCACGAAGGGCATCACCACCACGCACCACCACCGGAACTTCTGTCGGTAACAATGACAATGTGCTGTAGTAGTGCAAGGTCCGTAGCGCCGCACCGCCGTACTCGCATCTTACCTTATCGTATGTTAATCTTCTGAGTAGATTATGTTTGTTTGCAGCTAGCGAGTGTTCTTTTATTTTGTCGGACACTTTGGAACCCACCCATAGGGAGTCGGCATTGGCCTGCAGCATCGCCAAAGGGGTCACTCCTCGCAGATTGGGCACGTCCAGACTGGCGTCTCCCTACACACATCATAATATTACCTATGGAGTAGCTGAAACAGGTAGTTATACGAACCATAGAATTGGTCACAGCCTTTATATTGGCTTCATGGTCATATATAGCCAACAAAACCTTCAAATATTATAAACTAGCTTCTGCCCGCGACTTAGTACGCGCAATCCTGTTCACTCCCGTTCCCGGAGGATTTTCAGGATGTTTTCTGTCATGAGAACCTGCTCCTGAATCAGCCCAATCGTTCTAGCCATTCACGCGTGATGCCGTGACCATCTTTCACACAAAAAATTGTGGAAAATGCCCAAAATTGCATAGAGCCAAGACTCAGAATCGATTACAATAACTTTTGTGTGGTAATGTAGTCATATATACACTATTTTTACTGGTTTAAACTGTCAAACACCAAGCGGTCACCGGTGACCGCTTGGTGTTTGACAGTTTAAATAGGACAAGTCCGCCACAACCTCCCAAAAACCGCTGTAACTCCTGTAAGCCAGACACAGTAGATACTACCATGAAAACACCGGAGCACTGAAATCCGGCGCGTCCCAAGGACATGAATAACTGTCTTAGTTCCCGCAACGAAGTGAATCATACGATATTATAAGAGGAGAAGAAAAAAAAAACTTTGTGGTATGACGATAATCTTAAAAAATCTTGCACTCTTACGTATGATCTACCTACATGTTGTTCATAAATGAATTATCGAGTTTTTTGGACACCCTCCTTTGGTTTAAAGAAAAATTGCTATATGGTATTACAGTATTTATTGTCTCGACTAGCTATACTCAAACTGCGCGCAATTTTGCTCCGTTCTATTTTAAATTTCGCGCTTATAAGAGAGTGATTATGGAGTCGGAGCTGAAAGACAAAAAAAGTTTATAAAGTAAATACATATACACCTTTGATTTCTATTTTATTATTGACATAATAATTCATCGCTTGGATCCCATGACTAAAACGTTTTTTGGCCCTAGTAAGAATGGTTGAGTATGGCTGGCCTAGATTAAGACATGGTGTACTTTTATTCTGGACCCAATAAAAAGGAATGCATGCGAGGCCACTCGCACTGGTAGAAGGCAGTGATAAATAATTTCAATGGATCACTAAAATGAATGGTACATATAGTTACTAGCACAAATCTTGAGCGCTGGGGGAAACTGCTAGCTACGTTCTATCACCAGAAAATAACTTAAACCGTTAGTTTATTTTCCTAGGAAAATTGTAAACTTCCATGGGATTCTAAACCAGAGATAAATTTTACTATTTTGCGGCCCACATTTTCTTAAATTTATAAATTTGCAATGTCTCGAGGTAAGTTTATGGACTGATGGATAACTCATAAGATTGTAAATGTTTCGACCAACAACAGTAAGGTTTTTAATTTGAAGCTATTTTTTAAAAATACATTAAGATACACACTGCTTTCTGATTGGTTGATGAAAATACAAATTATCTCATTTAGAATTACTGACTGCCTCGTAGGCCGAGTGGTCGCAAGTGCGACTGCCGGGCAAGGGTTCTCGGGTTGAGCAAAGTATTACTGGGTTTTTAAAAAATTCTCAGTAGTAGCATGGAGTCTGGAAATGTGCCCGGTATGTGGCAATAGGCTCACCCCCTGTTACATGGGACTCAAAAGTGGGTGTTACTTCTGTGTGCACCTCAGCCTACCCCTTCGGGGATAAAAGGCGTGGTATTATGTTCATTTAGAATTATATGGAAGTTTATAATTTTTCTAAGAAATTTAAAAACTGACAGATCTTATATTTTCAGATGACACCCACAAGTGACTTCATGAAATATTTTAAATCCATGTGTTGTCATAAATCCATTATTCAAATACGAAATTATTGTTATTTTAAATTAAATAAGTATCTGTATTTTTTTTTGTATTTGTGTGCGTTCCTGCTGTGGAATAAATGCTTTTTCTTTCTTCTATCTTTCAAATGAAAAGAAAAAGAATACCCACCTACCACCACAGGAACCTAATAATCATTATTATGCAGGTGAAGGTCAGTGCTCAAGACCCGTGCCAGTTATTGTACCTGCCACACTGTTGCAAATCATAACAGTTATTATAATGGTTCACAAGTGTAACAGTTTTATTTGTTAATTTTAGTGTAGGATATGCCTAGTGTGACTACCTATATTGTATGTCTTCTTTTAATAATTTTTTAGTATTCTGTAGAGAATGTTGTTGGTTATACATTTATTGTATAATTTGCTTTGACATTTGTTGTAATGTATTATCATAATGTATAATTGTAGAACCCCCACTTCTGTCGTTGGTAAGTAAACAGACATACACATCACACCAGTGCCAGAACAACAATTTTTGAATAACACAAACAATTTATTTGTGGCATGTTGCAATCTGAATGTCAGATGAGGCATTAAGGCTACTGCAGCTGATCCAATTTTGCTGAGATTTCGTTGTCAAGGAAACAGTCAACTGGATATGGTGCCCAGATCTTTAGATTTCTACAATAAATACAAATAAATGTTGAAGAGTTGAAATAGTCAGGGCTGGACCACTCAGCTTTATACAGATGGATTTCTTTCACACATTATGTTTACTATACATTATGACACAGAATATGAATATAATCTAACATTACTTACTGAATGATAATTCATCACATAATTACTATCATGACCAACTTACATATAGGATGAGGGTGGATACGGCAGTCGTGTTTCTAGCAAGGATAGCCCAATGTAGGGCTGTATTCCCGTGCGAGCGATCAGCCGGGCGAGGCGAGGCACCCAACGTGAGTAGAAGGCGCGCCGGGTCCACGGCCGACACCTTCCAGCACGCCCACATCAGCGGCGTCATCCCCGCCGCGTCCGGCGCGTCCGGCGTCACGCCGCGCGCCACCAGGTACGCCACCACCGCCGTATGCCCGAACTGCGCCGCCAGGTGCAGGCAGGCGCAGCCCTCCGCGTCGCGCAGCGTGGGGTCCGCGCCCGCGCGCACCAGCAACACCGTCGCCTCCAGGTGGCCCTGCCGCGTAGCCCAATGCAGTGGAGTAGATTGCAGCTCTCCACCCACGGCGTCTACCGCTGCACCCTTCGACAGCAAGTACTGGATGATCTCACGCCTGTTGTTGATTGCGGCCCAGTGCAGCAGTGTGACAGTCTCGTGGTCTGGCTGGTTGACATCCCATCCTGCCTCGACGAGTTCTTTGACGCGTCCGAACGCACCATACTGTGTGGCCTTGACTATGTCGAAGCCACTGTAGTCCCTCTCTAGAGGTGCCGGCGGCGGCTCCCGAGGCGGCGGTCCGTCGCCATCAGGCTGTGCTTTGCCGCACTGTCCGCTGGCGGCGGCGCCGCATGTACTATCGTACATACTCCTAACACGGTCCAGGAGATATTAGCATTATTGGTAAAACTCAATACGACTTCACAAAAACCTTGAACTTTGATACACCTTCACAATATATGAAAGAAATGTTATTTTAGAACGACACGATTTCGATAACAACTACAGAATCTCACGACCAAATCAAGAACAACCAAACACATATTATTGACATTTCTGATAATCTGATTTCGTGATTTTCTTGAGAGTTGCCATTTAATATGACATTTGTACAAAATATTATTTTATTTTATTTAATTATATAGACATTTAATTTATCTAGACATATGTTTAAGTATACTAATCCCTTTTGGTGTGTTCCTGGTGCTCCTTTATAGAAAATGGATAAAAACGTCCCAGACTCTATTAATCAATACATTTTGTCAAGGTTTGCATGTGAGCATTGGGCAACACCAAAGAGTATGTCAATGTCATCAGACTCAGGCCCATAGATAAATAATAAAACTGTAGAAGTGTAAATTCTGTACATTGAAAATATTAAAAAAATATATAGTGGGGGATGATAGTGGATACCGCATCCAAAAATGTAATTAAAATGTTTGTCTGTCTTTTTTTATGGACAATGGGCATTCTGCATCACGCAAAAATAATAATTATACTTTATTATCCTAGGCACCACACTGGGTAGTTTAGTTTTTATCTCTAAAAAGTATGTACACAAAAAACAAACTTGTATTGATTTTATATTGGTCTTATTTAAATTAC